AAATAAATAAAATCTTTAAAAATAAATAAATAAATAAATAAATAAAATAAAATAAATGGGGCTTATGGAAAAAATCAGATTGGGGCAGGGCACTCAAAATCTGTGAAACATTGTAACCAGTACACTAGTAAAAACAACAATAATTATAATAAATGTATTACAATAAATAAATATATATTATAAATATACTAAATCTCCATTGGCATACGCACCCAGCATCAGTCAGTTGAACCTTTCCAGGCTTAATCCCCTGGGTGGTGGTTTCCTCCTCTGAGATTGGGGTCTTGAAGACATTCGCTTACAATAGGGACCATTTTCATTATAATTAAAAATTTGACGTATGAGATGTGTAGGCTTTGGTGATCAAAAACTTTTTTTTAATTTTTTTAAAGATTTATTTATTTATTTATTTATTTATTTATTTATTTGACAGAGAGAGAGCACAAGCAGGGGGAGCGGCAGGCAGAAGGAGAAGCAGGCTCCCCACTGAGCAGGGAGCCCGATGCGGGGCTTGATCCCAGGGCCCTGGGACCATGACCTGAGCCAAAGGCAGACGCTTAACCATCTGAGCCACCCAGAGGCCCCATCGAAAACTTCTTTAAATACAGGAGGGGAAACATATGCCCTCAACCTCACCACATGTAAAGTGGAAAGCTTAGTGGTTCACGAAGCAGGTGAACCAACCACTACTTGCATTAAAGGAAGGTACAGAAGTAGGATGTTCAGCTTTTTTCTTAAGGTCTTCGTGTATTGCTCAGGCTATCTTGTTCATTGTGAGAAAGCCTTCTCTTGATCCTTTTAAACATTAACTTGCAGGGGAAAATCTCATATTAACCAACAGGACTTTGGTGTTCACGGACATCTTTCCCCATTTACTAATAACATTTGAACTAATTCACATTAGAGAAATAGGCTTTGTAGCAAAATACGCTAAGAAACTGCTTTGGTGAGAGGACCTCCCGGTGTCTCTTTTAGAAAAGCTGTTTTCCTGGGCACCGCCTTAATCCATCAGGAGGTTTTATCAGGGTTGTAGAGGCACATCTTTGGCTTGATCCTGCCTCAAGACTGAATTCTAGTTACCATTTGTAGCTCAAGACCTTCTCTGTTTTTATTAAGCATCTGCTTCTTCCAACCTTACAAATCGCTGACTTTCTGAACTCCTTTAATCCTGATTATAAACCAGTCAGTTATTTTCTGAATTCATCCTTTTCATGTAATTATTTGTCACATCCGGCCAACAGCAACCAACACACTGTTTTCCCAGTCCATTTTCCTGTTAGAGCTGTGAGTTCTCTATCTTCTGAGATAAATAGGTGATAGTCTCACCGAGAATGTCACCACTGCTGTCCTGTTAGCCTCCTGTACCCGTTTCCTTGCTCGTTTTCACCAGCTCCTAAGCCTTTGCCATATATTTGAGTTTTCTGGATGAGGCAGCACCCACTTCTGGATTCCATCTGTATCAGCTAGGAGAGGCCAGGTTATGCATGATGCTACAGTACTAACCAACACAAGGTCTCAGAGGTTTTAAAAACACACTCTGTGTAAAATTAAATGAAAAAGAGAAAATCCACTGCACCGTGCGTAGCCTGTAAATCATTTTCGTCACTCCAGGATCCGGGTGGATAGCAGTGACAGCAGTTGTCATCTTGAAGATTGGTGGCCCCTGTGGCAGAGGGAAAAGAGATCTAGAGGGTCTCATGGGTTAGAAAATATCCTGTCCTTCTGCACGCCACTTCTACTCAGGAGGTGCTACCTTCCCGCAGTAGTCACATGGCCCCACCCAACGGCAGGGGAGGGGGCGGGGTCAGGGTCAGGGTCAGGGTCAGGACCTGCAGTCCGGCCTCGAGCCCAGAAGGCTGAGAGCCCAGAGGTCTTTGGGAAGAACACATTCATTATGACCACACAGGATTTCCCCTCAATTATTTTTCTCTGTCTTCCTGCTTTTTGTTTAATTCCTAGCTTTTGCTGGTTAATTGAATTTTACTATCTCTCCTCCCTTGCTTAATTTGAGATAATTATGTGAGTAAGTTTAATGGTATTTGTAGTAGTTTAGATTAGTTCCATGGGTCAGAAGTTTTGGCACATGCAAAATAAGGCTAAGTAGAATTAAAAGCCACTGAGATCTTCCTACTTAAAATATGAGGTGTGAAATTTTGATATGTGCAAAGTATGTGGTTATAGGGACAACCAAGTTTAAGTTATTTTGGAGTGTCATTTACCAGAATAGAAATAGACCATGAGCCGTGGAGTCAGGCAGGCCTGGGTCAAGCACTGCTTCCGTCATTTAAGAGATATGTAATCTTAGACAAATTATTTAGCCTCTTAGAGGCATAATTTCCTCATTTATAAATACAAACAAGTACAAATACATTTACAGATGTCAAGTAAAACATGGCGACATTTATCACCAAGACTTTCTGAAATTCCACTGAAATGAAAGTAAAATCACTTTTTAATTTTTTAATTTTTAATTTTTTTTAAAGATTTTGTTTATTTGTCAGAGAGAGCACAAGCAGGGGGAGCGGCAGGCAGAGGGAGAAGCAGACTCCCTGCTGAGCAGGGAGCCTGATGCAGGGCTCGATCCCAGGACCCCGGGATCATGACCTGAGCCGAAGGCAGATGCTTAACCTACTGAGCCACCCAGGCGTCCCTATTTTTAATTTTTTTTTAAATTTTTTATTTATTTTTTGTAAGCGGTGGGGGGGCAGGTAGTGGGGGGGAGGGCAGGAGGGGGAGAGAGAGAGAGAATCCCAAGCAGGCTCCACGCAAAGCATGGAGCCCGACACAGGGCTCGATCTCATGACCTGAGCCAAAATCAAGAATTGGACACTCAGGGCGCCTGGGTGGCTCAGTTGGTTAAGCGACTGCCTTTGGCTCAGGTCATGATCCTGGAGTCCCAGAATCGAGTCCCACATCGGGCTCCCTGCTCAGCAGGGAGTTTGCTTCTCCCTCTGACCCTCCTCCCTCTCGTGCTCTCTCACATTCTCTCTCGCAAAAAAAAAAAAAAAAAAAAGAATTGGACACTCAACCGACTGAGCCACACAGGCATCCCCAAATCACTTTTTTTTTTTTTTTTTTGAGAGAGAATGAGAGACAGAGAGCATGAGAGGGTGGAGGGTCAGAGGGAGGAGCAGACTCCCTGCCGAGCAGGGAGCCCGATGCGGGACTCGATCCCGGGACTCCAGGATCATGACCTGAGCCGAAGGCAGTCGCTTAACCAACTGAGCCACCCAGGCGTCCCCCCAAATCACTTTTTTTAAAAGAACAAATCCATAAGGACAGAGAAAACAGAAGATAGTAACAGAGGAATGACAGAGTAGTTGTGGACCACATAGTAGAGTCATCATAATGTAAGAATAAATACTGATTTAAGAAAAAGCTATGATAGAACTCTGTTGGGAGGCTGGAGGGAGGATTGTGAGCAATAAGGTAAGAAAAACTATAGTGGGAGACAAGTAGTAACATCTTAAAATGAAAAAAATCAAGAAATAGAAATATAATCATGTTTAGAAATATGGAAGGAGGGGCGCCTGGGTGGCTCAGTCGGTTAAGCGTCTGCCTTCGGCTCAGGTCATGATCCCAGGGTCCTGGGATCGAGCCCTGCATCGGGCTCCCTGCTCAGCGGGGAGCCTGCTTCTCCCTCTCCCTCTGCCTGCCACTCCCCCTGCTTGTGCTCTCTTTCTCTCTCTCTGCCAAATAAATAAATAAAAATCTTAAAAAAAAAAAATATGGAAGGAAATGCTGGGGAGGAGGAGCTAATGTAGTTGAACATTTTTGTTTCCAGGCTACGGGATCAGATAGGATGGAGTCAGCAGAGGGCTATTCTTTTTGTTAGAAACCTTGCCGTGTATGTGACTTGGACAAACGATGTGTGCTTTTCTTTTTTTAGTGATCACTTCGATAAAAAATCAAAAATGAGTTTAAAAACCACCCCCAGAGTCTTGTGGTGGCTGTTAAATAGGAATAAGGAGAAGCACCTTTGCCTGCTGGTGCACATGGCAGGCCCTCAGCGAATGCTAGTTTCCTTCCGTCAGCTAGACGGGGTATGTGCTTGCAGTGACAGTCGTATGACTCAGGGATGAGGTGGGTGGTTAAACAGCAATGTGAGCTGTGTCACAAAGCAATTTAGGCGCCCTTCTCTCTCTCTCTCTTTTTTTTTAATGGGTGGTTTCATTTTTCTTGGAACCATATCAACCTGATGGTTACTGTTTCTTAGAATTTATTGGACTTCTGTGCAACTGACACATGAAAAATTCCCCGGCTCTCGAGTGGATTTAGTGAGCTGCGCATGGAACAAACTTAAAAATACTTAGCAACTTTGAAATTACTCTGATGAATCTGAAACCAGTAATATCTATAATAATATCCCTACCGAGATTATACATTATTTAAGGCCACGGACATTTTCTGTCTCTTCTGTCTCTTCTTACGTCAACTAGCTGTTTTATTTCCCTGGTCCACAGTGCCTAGCTCACAGCCAGCTTTGTTCTTTGAGCCCTAACTGTGGTGGATGGTAGTGACTGATGTTGAAAACAAAGCCAGCCAAGCAGAAAGCTCTTGTGTGTTTCACCTAGGACACCTGTTTATATGACAAGACTATGAACTCCCTGTGGACAGAGACCATATATTCTGTCATATCAGCGTGTCCTGTAGCATCTAGCACAATGAATGCCATGCAATAGTACATATTCATTTTGTCATCAGATACGTACTGAACACCTAAGTGCTTGGCACTGTGCTAACCTGTAAAGATCCTCAGGGCACTGGACAGGTAGATTCCTGCTGCTATCTCAGAATGTACATTCTAACAAAATTGTGTTGAATTTAGTAAACCAGTAGCCCAGTGAAATAATGGCCCACACCGAACCATTTAAGCAGCATAAAGAATTGCCTCTGTAAAGAGCTGAATCATTTTCAGCTGTGTTGTATGATGTATGTGCATGCTGTGAGAAGGAAATCATGGTATCTGACCTTTTTTTCCTCTTTGCTTTTCTTTGTAGATAAGATGCTCCAAGTCAATTGCAGCTCCCTTCAGAAGAAAAGTCACTAGCGCTCTGCTCTTGCCATAATACCAAACCTTCTGACTTACGCTTCGGTGCTGCCACACTGGAAGAATTGCACACAGGTTCCAGGAATACCTTTTTTTTTTTTTTTTTGAGTGATTCTTTGTGGATGGAAAAAGATTTGAGTCTTAATAATTACCCTGTTTTAAAGCTATTTCTCTACAGTCTGATCTGCGTTCTGCATCGGGCCGCTCCCCCATGAGCCACGCAGCCAGCTCTCGCCAGGAGCGGGTGGAAAGCTGCGCTGTGCATGCAGCAGGGATGGCCCAAGAAGATAGCCGTCGGGCTCCAGTGCCATCTGCCTTTTATCATGGTGCCAACCAAGAACTTGACCTGTCCACCAAAGTGTACAAAAGGGAATCGGGAAGTCCTTATTCTGTGTTAGTGGACCCCAAGATGAGCAAGCCCCATCTCCACGAAGCCGAGGAACAGCCGTATTTCAGGGAGCCAAGGGCAGTGTCTGACGTGCATGCTGTTAAGGAAGACCGGGAGAATTCTGATGACACGGAGGAGGAGGAGGAGGAGGAGGTTTCTTACAAAAGGGAGCAGATCATAGTGGAGGTAAACCTTAATAACCAAACGTTAAATGTATCTAAAGGGGAAAAGGGTGTCTCTTCTCAGTCCAAAGAGACTCCTGTTCTTAAGACAAGCAGCGAGGAGGAGGAGGAGGAGAGTGAGGAAGAGGCCACCGATGACAGCAATGACTATGGAGAGAACAGAAGGCAGAAGAAGAAGGAGAAGACAGCGGAGAAGGCCAGCGTCACACACAGGAGAACCAGGAGAGCCAGCTCCGTGGCCACGGCCACCACTTCCCCAACTCCCAGGACAACAAGAGGGCGTAGGAAGAGCGTAGAGCCGCCTAAGCGTAAGAAGCGGGCTGCCAAGGAGCCCAAAGCGCCGGTCCAGAAAGCTAAGTGTGAAGAGAAAGAGACTCTGACCTGTGAGAAGTGCCCCAGGGTGTTTAATACTCGCTGGTACCTGGAGAAGCACATGAACGTTACTCACAGGCGCATGCAGATTTGTGATAAGTGTGGCAAGAAGTTTGTCCTGGAAAGTGAGCTGTCCCTTCACCAGCAAACAGACTGTGAAAAAAATATCCAGGTAGGTTTCACCACCGAGAGGGCACACTTTCCAGGATAGCACCTGGCTGTTCAGACTCACCTGGTATCTGCCCAAGAGAATAAATACAGTAGAGGCTGAAGGGACAGTTTTCACCGATGTATCTTTTTAAAAGCTCCTGCTTTGGTCTTTTCAAAACCCGGGCTTAACCTTTTCTTTCAAAAGCATTACACTTACCTGACGCTGGACTAGTGGGAACGCAGGTACACTGACTGGAAGGGGTAATCTGTTGTAGGTGACTGATTGCCCAGGAGGTAAAGTCAACACCGACTTTGCACTGAGATTCACTGTTGTGAGACGTGTAACATATAATTCATTCTGGCATCTTCTCTGTCAAGGTGGGAGATACTGAGTGAAGGTCAGGAATAGAGAGAGGTCCCCTTCTAGGTTTGGAAGGATGCCAGATTCTAGTGCAGCTGATGGGGACAAAAACCATAATGCCTCAGACCGGTGAAAATGGAAGATCTCCAGGAGTGAGTTTGCTTTTACCAGTGGAGAGATGACAACATTAAATTTATCAAGAGGCTGAGCCCATGGGAATATGCAGACTTTAAACAGAGGCTGAGCTGGTTGAAAATGTTGCCCACCTGGTGGTGGGGTTACGTAATGCTACATTATTAAGGTAACAGAATGTGGTTTTCAAACCAGGCTGATGTCTTGAAAGGACTATATTGTGACAGGTTAAGAGGTGTGCTAATTATATTATGTCAAGTGAATTATATTATGTTGAGCTGTATTGGTTTGTACCTGTGAATGCATATTAATGAATATTCATAAAAGGTAAGTCTATCACTGTCTCCATCAGATATGTAAAATACAAATGTGTCGTGCCATATTTAAGTCAAACTTCTTTTGAAAAATGCAACTGTTTTGTTTTGGTTTGTTTCTTGGAGTGCGCTTGATCTGAAGTGCTTCTTTTTCACTTCACCTCTCGCTTTTAATCAACAACTGAGATCATTGCTTTACTTTAAAGAGATTTTTTAAATATAAACTATGTTTGCCAAAAATTCATTGCTTTTTGGTTCATCAGTTGTGACTTGGTCTCTTACACGCTTGGTAATAAAAGAAGGCTGAGTCGTGGCGCCCAGACCCTCCGGTAACTACCACTGGCCTTGCTTGGTTATGAGTTGGTTGTGACAGTTCAGGCCGAGGGGAGTGTGATGCGTTGCTGCACCCTAGGGGTCAGACGTGGGTTCTCTGATGACTCATTGCTGAAAGGTATATCTGTTGATGTCCATAAAGTTGTGGGGTTTTTTGTTTGTTTGGGGTTTTTTTACTTAAATTTGCTTTATTAAGTTACAGAAAGAAAACATTTAATACATCCTCATTCTGTGACTTTCCTCACTGTTGCTCACCATAAGGCACTTCAGCTTGCATTCAGGTTTTGTGGATTCTGCCGAAAGAGCTCTCTTTACATTCCTGAAGAATACTGCTTTGTTCATACATATAAATCCTCATGATCCTGGCGGCCTAGTAACGAGTAAAAATTGAAACCCTGCCCTGCACAGTGGCTTGTAGGGGTAGGTCTGTCCTTCTCTCTAGTGGGTCCAACCAGAGGCTTATTTATTTTTTTCACCCTTCTCAGAGTCCTTGTTTCCTGAAGTGACTGTAATGTTCAGAGATTTTTATTTCCAGTGAATAGCTAACTTGTTCCCTTAAATGTCTCCGAGTCGGTGGTTACCCAGAACTTTCTAGTATTGTTTTGCTTTAACCAGAAGCACTTTATTCTGATACACTTTAGGCCTGATATTCCAGACTATTACTGATTCATAATACAAGGAACTAGGCACTGTTGCGTGTGTTTCCTGTAGACCTGTGTACCAGAGATCTGGGGCTGGCTACCAGGGAAAGGGAAGATGATACTGGTGGCTTAGAAGGGACATGTCCCATAGAGTAAATTAGATACGGGAAAATATAATAAAATCTCAATAATTTGTGTTAATGAAAGCTTCAGATGCCTTCTTTAAGGTACAGAAACATTGTTATACTTCCACAGATCTATAACTGTTAATATGTGTTTTATCTCATTTTTATTTATGCTCATTTAAAATTAGTTTGTATTCCCTGGTAAATGCCTGTTAACTGCTTAGTGACCTATGTGTAGGAGGCAGCTGCTCTTGGTAATCCATTTATTTTTCAAAACTTGGTTCTTCTCCATTGGTACTATACTGATTAAAAGCAGTCAAGTCTTTTCAATTAGCGGAACTTTCCATGTCTCTTTGTCTTACTTTTTGCCATTGTTTTCGTACTCCCAGAGCATCTCTAAAAGATGCATCTTGAAAAATAGAACATACAGATGTTGGTGTTGGCATCTGGACTCCTCGGAGGCCTGGCATTTGTTTGTTTGGATTCTGGCCTTGTGCCATGAATCTCTAGCATGCCCGTTTCATCAGCCAGTAGGCAGCTACGGCTTTCTGCAAGCCCCTGTAAATAAAGATTATTTCTATTTATCCTGCTCAGTGTGTTTCCTGTAACAAATCATTCAAGAAACTCTGGTCCCTTCATGAGCACATCAAGATCGTCCATGGATATGCAGAAAAGAAGTTTTCCTGTGAAATTTGTGAGAAGAAATTCTATACCATGGCTCATGTGCGGAAACACATGGTTGGTAAGTTTCTTCTGCTTTTTCTCTCATGCCTATGCTTTGTCCTTGTTCTTTGGTGTGTTTTACGCTTCAGATGGGGCAGGATCCGAGGAAGGGCCTTCCTTTAATCCATTCTGACTTGTCGAAACTAACTGCAGCATGTCCTCAGCAAGCATCACCGACTGGCCCGGGACAGGTTCCCTTCCAACCTTGTGATTTCTGTTTCTCTTCAGAACGTTGCTCTTAAGACCTCACAAATTAAAGTGTAGAAAGTCCAGACGGCATGAGTTCCGCGCAGTCCCGGCAAAGGACATGAGTCTCTCCCAGCTTGAGCTTTTCGGTGGGCTTATTTTGAGTACAGTGCATTCTGTGTTGCAGCACACACGAAAGACATGCCATTTACATGCGAAACCTGTGGAAAGTCGTTCAAACGCAGCATGTCCCTCAAGGTGCACTCCTTGCAGCATTCCGGAGAGAAGCCCTTCAGATGCGAGGTAAGGAGCGCGCTGCCCCCCAGGCCCCGGCCTAGGGACGAGCTTTTGTGTTCGTGGTGAGCAGTGAGGGAGAGGTGTGCAAGGTACAGGCCAGAGGCCCTCCAGATACACGCTCTGAGCTCTGAGCTCTGAGCGAGCGCCCCGCGTCAGCTCACGGCCAGATGGAGAAAGGTCATCTTAACCCTCTCAGACTAGGTTGAGCCCGGGAATAACGCACGATGAGTTATTTGTCTTCCCTCAGTAATCCAGAGAAGTTGGGGGTAACTTCGGTGCTAATTATTCGAGAAAATTCCCCCTTTATGAATAACTGAGCCATAGAAATATAGCAGAGCCAAACAGTTGACGCAGCAGGTCCTATTTTAGGTGTGAAAAAGAAACCTAATCTCAGAGACTTTGTAGGGTGGGCTCAAGTAAAGCTCCTATGCCTGGCATTCAAAAATCTCCACTGTGTCCAATGCAGAACTGTGACGAAAGGTTTCAGTACAAGTACCAGCTACGTTCCCACATGAGCATCCACATTGGGCACAAACAGTTCATGTGCCAGTGGTGTGGCAAGGATTTCAACATGAAGCAGTACTTCGACGAGCACATGAAAACACACACTGGTAAGAATTTCTTGGGAAGGGTGCCTGGGTGGCTCAGTTGGTTAAGCGACTGCCTTCGGCTCAGGTCATGATCCTGGAGTCCCTGGATCGAGTCCCGCATCGGGCTCCCTGCTCGGCAGGGAGTCTGCTTCTCCCTCTGGCCCTCCCCCCCTCTCATGTGCTCTCTCTCATTCTCTCTCTCTCAAATAAATAAATAAAATCTTTAAAAAAAAAAAAAAAGAATTTCTTGGGAAAAGTACAGATATGTCTCAAGCACTTGTTGATGATCACCTGTGAGTCTGTTTATGTAAAAACCGAAAGCACGAATTTGCATTCTAAGGGCAAATTCTACTTGAATTATTTCACCTGGCATATAAAAATACAGATTTATTAGCCTGAAAAATTGGGCTTTCATCACTCCGCTCATTTAAAAAAAGGATTATTTGTGAGTGCCTTTTAACTGTGGGTCCCTTCAAGATGCTGGATTCTTTGCTTAGGGCACAGGATCTCCTAAAATTGTATGCAGCTTGCTTTGTGTATGTGCAGTGTGCACAATATGTGTGATATTTTTTAAGGGAAGGGCTTCTGGACCTTTCAAAACTGAAGGACACTGACTGCTTTAAATAGAATACCCTCTCAGTGTGCTTAAAGTTTGATCGGATTGGATTTCCCCAAAATTACCACTTTTCAGGAACAATTCCCATCAGATGAAGTTAAATCATATTTTAACCATTTTGTGTTTGCAGAGGTTTTTGCTTCCTAGCATGGATGTGAATCTTGTAAGCATTTGACTACCCAGCTTGCAGGGAACTGGCTGAAGTAGCTAGCTCCTCCTGTAAACACTGCATCATTGTATCTCAGCCGTAACTTGGTATTCTGGGGTTAGCTAGTCTTTGTACAAATTGAACAGTATGAACCATTTTTTGGATTTCAGCATAAAATCTAATCATAGGATTCTACATTCTGTTTGTCCATAGAGTAGCAGAACTAGAAAGAACCACTTGCTTTAGCCCCTTGCTCTTTTTTGTTCAACCAGAGGTGAAGAAACTCTGCCATGGCTGGATCGCTTTAGTTCCCAATTTTCTGTTGAAGTCCAGAGAAAAATGCCTGCCCAGTGGGCTTCCTCCCCATTCAGAGCAGAGCACCCTCCGATTTTAAGGATTAGTCTAGATGAAGAGTCAGGAGAAGAGTTTACTTAGATAAATTGCCCCTTAAAGGGTAATGAGAACTTTGAAGCCTAAGTGGATGGACAGCAGGATATAGCAGAGTAATTAACAAATTCTCCTCTTCTAATTTGGTGGCTTTTGGACAGGCTCTTAGTTCCGAGTCGCTTTTAGGATTCAGTTTTTTGTTGTAAAGCAGGAAGCTGTGGAACTAGATAGAAAATAAGCTTTTTTGAAGGCAGAAGTTGTGTCACTCTCACACACGGTGCTTGGGACATGGTGGCCCCAGAGATGTTGGCCACGCCGCATCATTTACTGGAAGGAACCGGGAGCCCCTAACACCTCTGCACTGCCCTGCCCTGCCCTCCTCTTCCCTGCACCTCTCCTGGGCGTCTTTCTCCCGGTTCCCTCTTCTCACCTCCTCCTGCCTTCCCCTTTGTCCTTCTTCCTGTAGACCTGAAATGTCCATAATACGAAACCAGAGTATATATTTTGTGACTGTCATGTTTGTTGAAAAAATTTTATGTTAAATATTCTTCTTTGGCCAAATAGGCAAGCTCAACATTTCCTATTTCTTCCAAAGAAATACAGCCACCCAATAGCCTTCTCATTAAAAGAGTAGTACATACTTACTAAAAAGAATATGAGAAAATGTGAAAGTTAATAACAAAACTGATCATCACTGAAACCTTACTGTCAATATTTTGGCATACATTTTTTTAAAATTCTTTAGTTTCTTAATACACATATAGATAGATACTATAAAAAGTGTTTATGTATTCATGTATATAGACGTAAAACAAAAATTGGGTCTTTATTATAACTGGCTCTTCCTTTTGACTGTATTATGTCATTAACAGCAATATCATTTTTAAAATTTTTTATTGTTACGTTAATCACCATACATTACGTCATTAGTTTTTGATGTAGTGTTCCATGATTCATTGTTTGTGCATAACACCCCGTGCTCCATGCATAACGTGCCCTCTTTAATACCCATCACCAGGCTAACCCATCCTCCCACCCTGCTCCCCTCTAGAACCCTCAGTTTGTTTTTCAGAGTCCATCGTCTCTCATGGTTCGTCTCCCCCTCTGATTCCCCCCCCTTCGTTCTTCCCCTCCTGCTATCTTCTTCTTTTTTTTCTTAACATATATTGCATTATTGGTTTCAGAGGTACAGATCTGTGATTCAACAGTCTTGCACAATTCACAGCGCTCACCATAGCACATACCCTCCCCAGTGTCTATCACCCAGTCACCCCATGGGTCCCACCCACCCCCACTCCAGCAACCCTCAGTTTGTTTCCTGAGATTAAGAATTCCTCATATCAGTGAGGTCATATGATACATGTCTTTCCCTGATTGACTTATTTCGCTCAGCATAACACCCTCCAGTTCCATCCACGTCATTGCAAAGGGCAAGATTTCATTTTTTTTTTGGATGGCTGCATAATATTCCATCATATATATATACCACATCTTCTTTATCCATTCATCTGTCGATGGACATCTTGGCTCTTTCCACAGTTTGGCTACTGTGAACATTGCTGCTATAAACATTGGGGTGCACATACCCCTTCGGATCCCTACATTTGTATCTTTGGGGTAAATACCCAGGAGTGCAATTGCTGGATCATATGGTAGCTCTATTTTCAACTTTTTGAGGAACCTCCATACTGTTTTCCAAAGTGGTAACAGCAATATCATTTTAATGGTTGTATAATATTCCTTCTGGTAAATTTGCTGTAATAATACCCATCATTTATTATGCACATATATGCCGGGCACTATCTTAAGTGCTTTACCTACATTACCTCATACAATCAGTGTAACTTCTACAATAGTCCTATAAAGTAAAGGATGTTGTTTCCATTTTATATAGCCATTTCCCTACTGGACTTAGATGATTTCTGTTTCCAATTTTTCTACTGTTATAAATAATACTGTGATAAACAGCTTTGTGGTTAACACATCCATGATTATTCACTTAGGATAAATTCCTGGAAATGGGATTATTAGGGCAAAGAGATGTGCACATTTTTAAGACTTGGTGGTATGTATTGCAAAATAGCCATCCACATACACTCTTACTAGCTGTGCATGAAAATACCCATCTTCCCAACCCTTTCCAATGCTAAATAAAACCCTGGCTGATTTGATAGGTGGAAAATGGTTTCTTATTGTATTAATTTGCATTTAATCATTGCTAAGTGAGATTGGACATTTTTTCATGCACTTATTGAGGGTCAGTATATTTTCCTTCCTGAATTGCTTGTGTCTTTTTTGTATTCATCTTGCCATTGCAGTGTCTGACTTTTTTTTATTGTTTCTAATACTTCTTTATATATATTTACATATCCTGGACCTCGTTTCATGCCAATATTAAAGTGCTTTCCCCTGGTTTGTCATCTGCCTTTTAATATTGCTTGTAATAGGGTGCCTGGGTGGCTTAGTTGGTTGAGCAACTGCCTTCGGCTCAGGTCATGATCCTGGAGTCCCTGGATCGAGTCCCGCATCGGGCTCCCTGCTTGGCGGAGAGTCTGCTTCATTCTCTGACCCTCCCCCCTCTCATGTGCTCTCTCTCTCTCATTCTCTCTCTCTCAAATAAATAAATAAAATCTTGGGACGCCTGGGTGGCTCAGTCGGTTAAGCGTCTGCCTTCGGCTCAGGTCGTAATGCCAGGATCCTGGGATCGAGTCCCGCATCGGGCTCCTTACTCAGCGGGGAGCCTGCTTCGCCCTCTGCCTGCCGCTCGCCCTGCTTGTGCTCGCTCTCTCGCTCTCACTCTGACAAAAAAATAAAATATAAATAAATAAATAAATAAATAAATAAATAAATAAATAAATAAATAAATAAAATCTTAAAAAAAAAAAATACTGCTTGTAATACTCAAATTGGGAAAGTGGCCGGCTGGTGGGGTTGGACACGCCTGGCTCTGCATTCTCTACAGCCTCCGCAGGTCTCTGGTTCCTTGGTGTTAAATAAGGATGACAGGAGCACCTGGGAGAATACAAGGAGCAGGCTTAGCATTGAAGAAAAGAGATAGCTCTTTTGAGGCTGGAAGTAACCACATTTAGAGTATGTTTTGTTGGGGATTACGGCCATTGCAGGAACTGCCGCTGATAGGGCTGTTTCTTCGCAGTTAAAGAGAAGTGAGGCAGACCCTGTTCAGGGAGGCTGCCCAGCCCTGAGGCAGGGTTTCCTAGGATGGTGTGGATGTGGGGTGAGTTCAACATAGAATGATTGCTGATTCTCCTTGTACCGGGTACAGCACTAAGTGCCTGGCAACACAAGGATGAATTCAGACCTGGTTTTTGTCCTCAAGGAGCTTACACTTCAGGGACAGGGATGGTGTTGGTAATAATAATAATCATAATCATAGAAGCACTCCAATGTTCTGAGTGTCTGCTCTGTGCCTGATACTGTTCTAAGTGCTTTCCTTGTATTTTCAACTTCTCACAATCGCCTATTATTATGATCTTCATTTATCAAACGAGGAAACTCAGGCTCAGAGATCAAATAACTTGTCCAAGGCAGCCTGACTCCAGAACCACATATTTTAATGATTCTGATATAATTTAACGTAGCAAGTCATAAAATGGAGGGATATACAGGACATCATAAGGGCAAAAAGCACCATTCCAGAGTCTGTTCTCAGCATCCAGAATGAGGCAGTGCACTCAAGCAGATCAGGATCAGAGGGATTGTGTTAAATCGTCTTAATGACATATTGCTGGTTTGTTGATTTACAGTGAAAAAGCTGAGTGGCAGATGGTTCAGAACTCTTATTTCTTTGGTCAGCATGTTCTTTGCCTAAGTAAAAATATATGTTAGAAGCTAAATTATCATCAGAAAATTGATAGGGACAGGGCATTACAGCAGAGGAAGATACTTGAGTGATCTTAATGGTGAGTACCATACATCCTCAAATCCAAGAAGCCATCCCTTGTAAGACAAACTTAATTTGTACACTGCTGAGAAAAGGCTGCAAATAAAAATGGCATGCCATCAAGTGTAAGATATATGTCCGTCTCAGAGATGTCAGTATGCCAGGGAATGCATGTCTTAGAATTAACAAATTTTGATTTGTAAACATTAAGTAAGAACCTACTAAATTGGGCTATTGTAGTGAACTGGACTGAAACAACCCTAGGGTCACAGGGCTCACAGTCAGGCTGGGTAGACACGCAAGGTTCGCTGAAGAGCACAGAGCAAGTACATGGAACTAAATGAAGTTGGCTGGAGTTTGGTGGATGGGGGCGGCTGGGCAGGAAGTCTGATGAGACATGATACCAGAGAGCAATAAGGAGGTGCCAGGTCACCAAAAAACCCATAAGCCATGAAAAAAGTTTGGACTTTATTCTAAGGACAGTGGGGAATTTCTTGAATGGTTTTGAGCAGATTGTGACACAAGTCTGAAAGTTCACCCTGCCTACGGGGTAGAGGATGGGCGGGGAGGTGGGGAGCAAGAAAAGAGAAGGCAACACCAATCAGGTGGATGTCACAGTAACCTAGGGGAATGGGATGATGATATGGACTGCGGTGATGGCAGTGGGTGAAATGAAAGTGATACACAAGATAGGGTCAGCTGAACAGGGGGACTGATTGGATAAAGATGGTGCAGGAGGGAAGAACCAAAGGATAGTCTCAGATTTGGGTCTTGAATGCCATTTGTCAAGACAGGGAATGGTAGAGGGAGGAGCAGGTTTGCTAAGTAGGATAATGAATTTAATGTTGCACTTGTTAGTTGTGAGACCTCTACAGGACGTTCATGTGGAAATACCCGGTAGGCAGTTTGCAAAGTGGGTTTAAAGCTGAAGACGTTAGAGAGATTTCAGCTGCATATATGGATATGTAGATTTCTGATCGCTACTCAAGGATATTCATACTAAGTAGACTGGAAGCCAGATCGCTTGTCCCTTTGAACAGTGCAAAAAAACAGCTAAGTAGCCAGCCAAATTCTTGTTCTTTTCTATCTTCCTGTAAACGCTCTGCCTTCATGTGTAATGTTCTTTGTTCAGACTCATTACAGTACTGCTTCTTACAATCAGCTTAGCTTTATATGTAGCAGCTAGGTCATGTCCTTAGGTGTGTTGATGTTGATATCGATACTTTTCTAGTTACCTCGATGGACTTAGCTTTAATGTATCTTCCAGCCACCCAGTTACCAGCGCTTCCTTAAAGTGGGACGTTGTGCAGGTGGTTGATTGCAAATGTTACGTTTTTATTTTTCCTTCAGCTTCATTACAATCTTGAGGTCTCGCAGAGACCTTAACATCACTCATTATTAGTACAATTAGGAGATGGGGCCTGATGAGTAGTGAGAGTTAGAGGTAAGTGGGATTGTAGGCTTACTTTTGGAACAACAAATGTAGAAAATTTGGTAGGACTTTAAGAAATGAATAAAAGATTACTAAGCAATACAAAGGATAAATATTTACTTGACAGAGACAGTGAGAGAGGGAACACAAGCAGGGGGAGTGGGAGAGGGAGAAGCAGGCTTCCCGCTGAGCAGGGAGCCCGACACAGGGCTTGATCCCAGGACCCTGGGATCGTGACCTGAGCCGAAGGCAGACGCTTCACGACTGAGCCACCCAGGTGCCCCAAAAAGGACCCATTTTTAATTTGAACCCATGGATTTGTGATAGGTGGGTTCTAATAGTTTTTGGCCTTTCTGTGGCAAATCATTATAGCCTACAAGACTACAAACAGGCGATGGATAGAGAGATAGATCCCGGATTTGATCCAGGTTGGAACACACAAGAGAAAGTTAATGTCCATATATTTCAGTAAGCTTACAATGAATCCTGTTTGTGGATGTAGGGTCTAGGGTGCCTAAGAAGTGATTAGTGAATCAAGTGAGAGTGTTTGCTCCAATTAGACTAATAATTCAGAGAGTGAGTCCTTTGGCTCTGTTTCCATATAGCTGTTGGGAGTAAAGAATACTAACTCTGGAGAGCCCAGGGGGGTTTGAGAGGTTGTCAAATAGGTGTGCTTTTAAAATATTACATTATACAAGTAAATTGTGTTTATTTGAGAGAAAGAGAAAGTGCATGTAGGCATAAAAAATAAAACATCACTCATCATCCCATTACCTAGAGAGAATCACTGACATTTGTTGTAGTTCTTTCCATGTTTTTTCTATACCTGTTTTTAACTAAAAGTGGATAATACCATGTGTGCATTTTCATAACTTGCTCATTTTACTTAATAGACTAGAAGCTTCATAGATTATGGATTTTCATGTTAGTAATTCAATTTCTGTACTTTCGTTATACTGTTTTTAATGACGCTGTTCATCAGATGGGTATGCCATCTTGAGATTTGAAGTTTTTAAGGTAATTGGAGGAAATGGATTAAAAAGATGGAAAACAAGATGGGCTCTGAAGTTATCTAAAAAGTTGAATACAGGGGCCCTGGGTGGCTCAGTTGTTAAGCATCTGCCTTTGGCTCAGGTCATGGTCCCAGGGTCCTGGGATTGAGCCCCGCGTCGGGTTCCCTGCTCAGCGGGAAGCCTGCTTCTCCCTCTCCCCCTCCTCCTGCTTGTGTTCCTTCTCTCGCTGTGTCTCTCTCTGTCAAATAAATAAATAAAATCTTTAAAAATAAAATAAAATAAAAAGTTGAATACAAGACTGATCCCTCCTGACTGCACAGTCTAGTCTCTTGAGGAAGCGAGGAAAATTCTGGCTTTCAGAGAAGGAGGGCAACGGGGGCTGTCAGTTTCCAAAGACCGAGAGAAGAAATAAGGACTACGATATGGGTGAAGAGGTGTTCTCTGCTCGTGTACGAAGGGGTCCAGAGTGGAGAACAGGAGGGATGTTATTTTCCCTCGTTGTGCGGGGATGCACAAAGCATCAAGGTGTGAAGTGCCGTGTTTTATGTGTCAAAGCACGCTCTGGAGGGAACCAGACTGCAGTTTAAACTCCTGGCTCTCCTCTAGCTGTAGAACTGTGGGCAAGTTCCTTAATTTCCCCACATCAGTAATGTAGAGATGATCACAGCTGCCTCACACAGGCTGTCGCTGTGAGGATCACCAGAATTCATAGATGGAAAGTGGTTAGAACGGTACCAGGCACACAGGAAGCCTCCATACACCATAGCTATTATCTATGCAGAGTAGAGCAAGGATGCCGTCAGAACCAAAGGGAGCCGTACCTGAGGCGAGAACAGCCCCTTGCAGCAGGAGTTACAGTAAAGGTACGAGCTGCGTATCCTGAGAACTGACGAAGGAATTAATCAGTACAAGCATGTGGCCACAGAAACACGTGTACGCAGGCATTCCGTATGAAGTGGCGAACGGACATACATGTTCAAAAGCCATCTTGTTTCCCGCCGTGGCCCAGGTAGAAAAGCAGCAGACAGCACGGAACCGTGTCGTTGTGCAAAGAAAAGTTAGGAACCCTAAAAATGAAGCCCTTATTTCCTCCCTCGGTGCCTTTAGAATTATGGAATTTGGTTTCCTTTTTGACTCATCGGCCCCATGCTTCTCAGCCAGGACCAGGAGTCCCCTCCCAACCCTCCCCACACCCATGGACATTTGGGAGTGGTGTGGGGACAGTTTGGGTTGTCAGAATCTCTTGGGGGTAGCTAGTAGGCTGGCACTAGGAGCGCCACGTGCTCTTCAGATGTGCCAGGTACTCCCACAGAATGAAGAAACTGTCTGCAGAAATGCCCGCAGCTCTCCCACTGGGAGTCTGTGCAGCGTGGGAGTCCTGGCGGCCGGTGAGCCATCCAGCATTTTCCAAGTCCAACACCAAAAAGTATGCCACACACTAATTACGTGCGGGTAGACACCAAGAGACTTCTTTGCTCCACGGGACATTTCTAGCAGTCTTTCTTTTGTCTGGAATTCAGAAATGGCTAACAGACGAACTTTGCCTAAATTTAAGAGGCAGAGATATGGCCGCGGTCTTAGCCGCCTTGAGCACAGGGAACTGACTAGAATGGTTCTTCACGTAGGATGTGAAGGATCACTACTGTAGATGCCTTTTTCTTTTTTTTTTTTTAACCACGCCCAGATGGTAGGTTGTATGCAAGTTTTACTCCTATCTGTTCTTACTTGTTAATTCCCAACTTTGGGAGACTCTTTGAATATGACATGCTGTAAGGGAGAGGAGTGCTAATCTCCTGGTTAAATATGAGGAATAGCGTGAGCATGTAATTACCGCCTAGTATGTTAATCATTTTTTTGTGTCTGTGTTCATCTCAGGAGAGAAACCCTTTATCTGTGAAATCTGTGGCAAAAGCTTCACCAGCCGCCCCAACATGAAGAGGCACCGCAGAACTCACACAGGCGAGAAGCCCTATCCGTGTGACGTGTGTGGCCAGCGGTTCCGCTTCTCCAACATGCTTAAGGCCCACAAGGAGAAGTGCTTTCGGGTGACCAGCCCCGTGAATGTGCCACCTGCTGTCCAGATCCCACTCACAACTTCCCCGGCCACCCCAGTTCCTTCTGTGGTGAACACACCCACGACCCCCACCCCTCCGATCAGTATGAATCCTGTGAGCACTCTTCCCCCCCGGCCCATCCCCCACCCCTTCTCACACCTCCACATCCACCCACACCCTCACCACCCCCACCACCTCCCCATCCCTCCGGTCCCTCACCTCCCCCCACCTCCAGCTCTCTTTAAGAGCGAGCCTTTAAATCATAGAGGCCCAGGTGAGGACAACTTTCTGCGGCACCTGGCCGAGAAGAACAGTTCAACACAGCATCATTAACATCCATCTCCTTAAGTGTGTCCTCCACGAGTTGTGTGCCCGTGTGAGTTTGCAGAGGGAGTTGGTGAGCATTTCTGTAGCTGTCAGACTCTCCTCAGCCTCCACCAAGAGCTTTGTCATTGTCTTGGTGAGTCAACACATCCAAGGGAATGAACGCGAAGACCACCTTGAGCTCATGGAGGGAACTGTCATCTAAACCAGGGGAACCACCGAACTAAAGCCCAATTTGCTTGCATTTTCTGGTGACTTTTATAAATTTCAAATACTCAGACTTGTGGAATTTTATAATTTCATATCAGCTGATGAGGTATGCTTGCTTTTATATCCCGGACTTCTCCTCAAAGAGGGGACAGGCCTGGTTTCCTTTGTACTAATCGGGAAGGCTGTGAGATTAATCCAGAGCATTAATTGTATCACTGTGTATCGTAACAAATTCTTTTCAGCTTTTGGTGCTGGCTTCAGAATGGAGCCGGCCGTGTTTCCCAGTATATCCAGCATTATAGAGAAAGACGGGAAGTTTCTTCTTTGTGTAGCTCTCCTAACGCACTCTTTATTTTACTACAGAAATTATTTTAGAGTTTTTGTATGGACTTCTTTAGTGGTCTGTTTCTAAAATGAAATGTATTTCAATAAGCGGTGTAATTTTTTCAGTGTAGCTGGGCCTATGTTGTAAAATAGAAAAAAAATTTTTATAATCATCAAAATGTGATTCTTAAAGATGCATATAACTTCTATAGTTCAAAGTTATTCTTACATCCGTACAACTCAAAGGTGCTTCAGAGACTAGCTGTATCTGAGAGGGTCTCCAGACACCAGGTTACTGCACGGTGAGGTTTTGCTTTCAGAACTTGGCGTAAGTCCTTACTAGTTTTTCAAATCTCCGCATCACACTCAAGTGTCAGTGTGTTAGGCTTGTTGACATGCTCCTGTCCTCCGCGTTTCACTTGGTGGGGTCACCGCATTAAATGGAACGATTGGCAAGGAGTTGGATCTTTCCCAGGGAAGTCACCTAAAGCTTGCGGGTTTTAAAACTCTGAGTCAAGCTGTTCACTGTCAGGAGGAGGAAGCGGGTGGTGGGGGGGGTGGTGTCCTCAGTCATGGCTGTTTCTCACTGTCCCCAGAGCTTGCCCGTGTTCCACCTGTGGCGACGACAAATGGAAGTCTCATGATACACTGCTTGTTTTGAGGTTGCTGTGTTTTTCTAGAATTGTTGTGACAAGATAAAATAGTACACTAAAATCACAAACATGATGTTGCTGACAGTAGCTGAGAAGTTGGCATGAGAACAAATTGACTGTGAGTTTTCAAATGTCTCTTCATCCATGGATCTATCCACAACTTTGAGCTATTCTATCACAGTTTAAATTGTAGCGAGGGAAAGAAAACTACATTTTGCTGCCCAGTTCTCTGCAGGTAATTATGTGACACAGTGTTGACAGGTGGTGAGGGCAGCGTCTCTAACACCTTTAAGACAGGTTACTTTTCCAGGTTTGGGAAGCTTCGAAAGAGTACGATCAATCAGGAGCTTATATAGGAAAGGCTGAAGAGAAGGGCTAACCTATTGCTCATATTTAACTGATCAGATTTCTCCAGACTCAGTATAGCTAAAAATTGTGTATTTTTTTTTTTCATCTCAGAGAACTGAGTTCCAAAGCTAGGTCTGCTTTCTTTCTCTCTCTCCCTCTGTGTTTTAATCTGGACATTTCTTCATTTTTCTTTCCTCAGGCTCTTAGATCATTGCCTAAATCAGAACCCTGGCTTTTATTTATTTTTAATTTTTAATATTAAATGTGCAGATATGCTTCAAGCACTTTTCTGGCTGATTAGCTCTGTGGTAGGAAAAAATGGAACTCTCAAGTGAGGTCAAGTCCCTGTTTTGTAAATATCACGTTCTCTACTAGCTTTTTGGTTTAAAATTTCCACACTTTTTCCTTTTGATTATTGCCTTTCCTCTTCTATGATGAGCATAGGAAAATTTTGGAATGAGGCAGAAAAGTAGCCCAAGACCTACTTTTCTTCCTGTTTGTGGATATAATTCCAAAAGAATGTTATTTTAAATCTTTGTATACAGTTTTTGGACACCCGGGTACCCAAACCGATAAGGAAAGTTAATTTCTTGTTTGTGACCATTATTTCTTTAGTGGCTGCCACCTCTTACTCCACAATCTCCTTCCCATTCCATGAAAAGTTTGTGGGTGGATCTACACCTTCATGTAGATGTATCATTACTTAATGGCCAAGCCTATAATATTAAGATGGTTTTTTTAAAGATGTAAATTGCAACTTAATTAATTGGTTATAGTACCTTATTTTATTCTACATAAATTTACCATATTGGGCAGCAATTCTGAATTCCAGACTTGAGACCATTAAATCAACCATTTTATGAAGTGTACTATAATTATACACTGGAAAATTCAGGTAGTCATATTTGATTTTTTCATCCAAGTGAATATAGCCATAAGAAAATGCCTACTACATAGGAAAACCAGTATTAAGCAAATAATCACCACCACCCTTAACAGAAGCAAAAAAAAGGATTTTTTTTTTTTTTAAATCAGCATTGTCACATAATACAATTCACGGTGAAATGTATTGTGGAACAATCTGAAAACCTCTACTTTTTTTTTTCCCCTAGATAAGTATTACCTTCCCTGACTTGGGATTTGTGGTCTTCAGGAACACTGCTCAGAACATAATGACTCCTCATCAGTGTCATATCACATATAAATAATGAAATGCATTAAGAATATTTGCAACATTCGTGCTTCTGAATACAAGAACTGCAGGATTAAGCCTTAAACATATATGTGCATCAGGTTTAATGTGCTTAAGACTCGAACTCAGGGTTGGAAATTTGATTGGGGTCCTTCACTAGGATGAAAGTTGCATTCTGTGGTGTGTTGCCTCTGACAGAGAGCACAGCTCCCTGTGACTTCAGAACTTCATGCCTGCTTGCTATCTGTTTATGAAAAAAAGAACCGTGGAGGAGTTTGAGTTCTCAGCCCTTATCTGTCCTTCGTCTTTTAAAGACAACAAAGGCCACATTTCAGCGTTATATAGATATCCAATTGAGGCTTTTTCTCATTACTTAATTTTACTGTCCTCAAAGGCTTGTATCGTGGGTAGGGTTAAGGCTTACTCGAGGAAAATCCCCCAAGGACTTTCTTGAGCTGACATTGCTTTTTTTTTTTTCTTTTTCTATGCTTTTCTTGTAGATTTATCATTCAAATATGAACTCTTCCTTAGCCTTAACGAAAGGCTGCTTGCTGCTTTCTCAAATTGAGTCAGGTAGGCTCATACTGAGTTAGATTTTTTAATTTGAATGAAGAAAATAGGATGAAAAGTTTAAAGGCACGTGGCTTCATTTCCATGTATATTTGTGATTTGATTCTTATTTTTTAGCAAGCCGGGAGTCTCCACATAAGACTTTATGGAAGTTCAAAGAAATCTTTTGCAAGTCAGTTATGTATACTTTCACAGTCTACCATTTACATGAATTGTTCTAAATTGATGACTGAGCATGACATTACCGTGGTTGTACCATCTTTTTAAAAACTACCTTTGTTTGGAAGTACCTTTTCATTGTGGTTAGAGGCTCCCTGTAATTTGATTGTCCCTAGGATACTAACTGAAGCCAAAATACGCTAAAGAAACGCTCGTCGACTGAATTTTCTAGTTCTTGAAATTGTTTTCAGTTCTTCTGTTTGTCGAATGGATATGTGTGTTTTATTTTTATGTCACTGGAAGTTTTAAATTTTGAGAAGATCAGGCAGAAATAGAAATCCATTGCCGATGGTGTTTATTTTCCCCATCTTGCAGATTTCAGTCAGTGAAACAGAATGGTAGGTAGGGTTTTATTGTAAAAAGAAGAGGAAGAAGAAGGAAGAAAACAGAAATTAGGGGAAACCGTTCTGTTTGAGCTACTGTCTAGAAGAGACAACTTGTATGACGTTGCCGATCCACGTGACCAACATTTTGGTGCTGTTCTAGACGGTACGGGAAGTATTTTAATGGAAAGGGGGATAAGTTACATTCAAGAATTTTATCAGCTATTCTACCGCGACAAAAACCGGCTCGCTTGGAATTCTTCAGACGATAACATTGAGCCAACAAATATTGGGTTTTAATTTCTCTTTGCCTAAACCGAGATAGGAAATTTCCCAAGAGATCATTTCTTTTCAGGAATGAAAGGTCATTAGCCACGAGAGACAGTGGCGTTTTTATGCAATAAGAACAACTGAACTACCCTGCTCCTGTCACCTGTAGCATTTTTACTAAATAATGATGGCCTTCCAGCCCTGGACGCTACCTCGACAAAGCAAACCAGAGATCCTCTCCACACTTTCTATGGAAGCCATACAAGTTGCCATCAATATGTCCACTTTCATAGTTCTATACTTTTATACTCTCTAGACTTTTTATAGACTCTATGATCAGATCTTTTTGTCTTAGAGGATAGGTTTTGCAAGATTCAAAGGAAAAGCAAACTCCTTGGTTATCCCAACTTTGAAGCCCTAGCTTCAGTAAATTTGTTTAAAGGACCAGATAATGTACCATTTAATCCAATTCTTGATTTAAGTCACAGCTATTTTGCAGAGTGGCATATCCAGAAAACAGACTTCTCTTATTCCCTAAGTAGAAGCTATATTTGTTGTAAGAAACTACTTATAAAGTGGATTTCTACTACCTTGTTACTCTATGTATTCCTCGATAATATATGTATTGTCACAACGTTCCTGGAGTTGTGTTTATTTCCTTGTGACAGATACATGAGTCCACGCTTCCCCCTGATTCCCCAGGACCCCCTCCCCCGCCCCGTTAGCTCACTGCAGCTCAGTCTTTCACTCTGTTCTTGAGTGCCTTCAAAAAGCCAGCATCCTGGAACATTCTTTCCCTGGTCTGAATCCTACCTCTGATTATTTCATTCTCCTGAGTATTGGAAGTCACCCTTATTCCCGTTGGTTTGGCTCTACAAACTAGGCCCTTAGATGCGAATTCTGGACCTATTCCTGTTCTGTTTACCCATGTTACTTTCAGATTATATTTTATGCTTTTGCTTTGATCTTATTTCTTGACCTATTCCATCGCTAATGATGAAAGATTTTATCTTTACTCCTTGTTTTTTCTTTCACCAGAAATGAGATGTTCCTTTAAAATGAAAGGTCACTGAGCACCTCTTTGGAACATCTTCTCCTGGTGGGTCTCCCTGAATGCCTCCCCTTTCTGATGAAGGGATCCCGAATACTGCTGTTGCTGGCCCTGCTCCTGCATGCCCTCTCTCTTCCAGAAACATTCCGGAAGATTGTACCCATAATTCTAGTTGAGTCAGATGAATTTGAAATCGCTCTCTGGGTTAATCAGAAGTCCTTTATTGGTTGTTGATCTGCCTCTCTCATCCGCCTGTCCCTCAGAGACTTCCAGTTACCTTCTTTTCTACTTGTTCTCATCTCATTAATTTTTAGAGTGTGATTGATACATGATATATGAAGGATGTAATAAAAAGGGGTTGCAGTGTGTGTTCTCCATGTGATAGGAGCACCTTCTTGATAAACCATTGTAGCAATCGGCTAATCTTTCACAGTCAGAACTGACGTGTGTATGTGTCGTTGTGCGGGTCCCTTGCGCCTATTCGGATCTCCTCCAAAACTGAAAACAAACAGAACTCTTTAAAATGAGGAAATTGGGTTGCATTTTCTTTTCTTTAAATGAATGAAAGCTATTAAGTTGAGTATTTTGGTCTTAGTCAAAAATTGTTCCTTTCTGACCCAAAATGCCATGTCCCTTCTTCTTAAAGTTAATAATACTAATACTCAGGTTTTTGAGACTAATAACCACACAAAGTGGGGGTCTATGAAGGCAGCTGTTAATAAATTCCTAACCCTTTTTGCCTGGTGACAATATGTTAACTGGTAAGACAGTGCAAAATTGGGACAATTGGTTATGTTTGGTAAGGAATAAATTCAAGACATCTGAAGTCCTCCCTGGCTATTTGGAATTGAAAGACCAGTTTCCAGAATGCAAAAAAGTAGACTACAGAAATAAGTAGCAAGAGTTTCATGTTTTAAATCCTTTCCACCTTAATTTGCCTTGATGGTCCCCGTTATTGACCTAGAAGTTTGCCTCTTTTCTTGTAACTGGCTACCTAAAGTAACCACTCTGAAACATGTGGCTTCTCTCTGAAGTCAGAAGCAGTACAACAGGTTGGGGAGAGGCATGGCGGCCTCACACTTGGAGGAGCCACACCCCTGAGACAGACTGTTCTTGTTCCATGTCTTCTAGGATAGGGCACGCTTGGCGTAAGTATCAAAGGGCCCTGAGAAGTGTCTCCACCACATTCTAGTTCCAGGTTCCTTTCACACTGTTCGAGCTTCTCCGGTGAGATCAGGGATGATACAGATTACTTGAAAACAATTTTGGGGACACGTAGGAAATGGGAATGGGGCAAGAAGGGGCAGAAGCTGAATTTTGCTTCCCTTCAGAAGGAAATGTAATACTTGCATTTGCTGGTTTTGATCAGCCAGAGAGCCTCTCTCTGACTCGGATGTGCCAAAGAATCAAGTTGTTTCTGAATATCCAGCTCCCCTGAGCGAACCCAGCTTCCTCCCGGCCTGTCTTTCACAGGTAAACAGGGTCCGTGTGGTCAGAAGGGCAGAGACAGAGACGTCGCATCACATCCTGCAGAGGACTCAAGGCTGTGTTTAATTGCATTTGAAAGTTGGTGGGAAATATTTTATTCTTTTAAAATCTCTTAACACTCCTGGAAATATCCTTTTCTGTGCTTGATGATGCAACTCATTAGGTTTTTCCAAAAGGGAAAAAGAGACTGTGTGGCATGGTTTAGGTGTTTACTCTTAAAGTTGTATCCCAAAGGATAGATCTGCAGCCTCTGAAAGTCGGATGAATTCCTCTCAATCTTCCATCAGTTTCAGTACGCATTTTATTCATTTCTTGCCAAGGGCTCTGTGATTCTCTTCCATCCGCAGTACTGGCTGTGTCCACAAGAGAGCAACGAAGTCCTTTAGCTTCTTTATTCTCAAACTTCGGAAGATCCCGCTTTTAAGTCTCTTACAGAATATCCTCTCTTGGCTCCGTGCTTGTTTTTAGATCTTTGTTTTTAAGACATGTTCCCTTACTGCTAAGTCCAGTAGTTGCTCAGCCTTCAGGATGCAAAGATTAATGAGTGGGTCACAGGTCCTCATAGGTCAGGCATCTTAATTAGCCGCTTTAAACAACAGTGCCCCAAGATGGAAAGCTTAGGATCCTCCCTTGGGGGCTCGGTTGTGCAGAGCAGGAAGGCAGCCCCGCTTGCTTCTTTCTCACACACCCCACCAGCAGCACAGGATGATCACGTCTCGGAGAGGGACAAGCAGCGGGCCTGGCTCTGGAGTAGGAAAGAGGAAATGCTTCTCCCCTCTGCTGCAGGGCAGGTCTGGTATGCCTGGGAGCAAGTCCTCAGGGGGTCAGACCCTGCATCCTGACCCTGGGGAGGTCCCCAGCAGCAGCCGCTTCTCCAGGTTGGAATTCAGTCTGTGTTCCCTCTCTGTCCGGGACTTGTCCTGTGGCTCCTGACCCTCGTCAGGGCTCTGACCTCGAGTTTGTTGTACTCACTGCAACATCTTCCTCACAGTGAGCTGGTTGGTCATAACTGAGGGCAAATGATCATCACTGTTTACACCAGAGAGGCAGGAGTGGCCTTCTTACCGGATCGCTGCCTGGCTCCTTCCCCCGCCACCCCAGCCCCGGCCAAGTCTGACCCCACTCCCACACTTGACAAAAAGCAAAACTGAAGCTGTGATTGGCTGAGGTAACAGGTGGCCAGGTGTAACTTGTTGGTTTTTATTTTTGTTTTCCCCAACAATACTGCAATCACTTGCACTTTTCCTCATTTCTTAAAGAAAATCCAGTTTGCTTGCCAGGAATTGTTTAGCGTTAGGTTTACAAAGCTTGTTGTTGAATGTTGAACATTTGTCCAAAGGAGTTTGACAAAACAGAAGCTGCTTGGTCCCTGTTCCGCCTGCCAGGTCCCAAGGATTCAGGCCATGCGGCTGGGGTACTTGGGTCAAGTCCAGAAGGGGGCAGTGTCCCTCTCCTACCTCTGCGAAGACGCAATTGAAGGTCAAGTTGGACTCGGGTAGGGCAGGTACCTCTCTTGCTGCAAAGAAGTGTAGAGGAGTCTTTCAGTTGGGGAGGTGACAGGCAGGTAAGACAGGATCTCTTCCGATGGGGAAGATACTGGGGAGAGGAGAGCTCATGGCCCCAGGGAGCTGTGGCGAGGCAGAACCAAGCTCCCCCCTGCATCTCCCAGCTAGCCTAGCTTCCCTGAGTCATCTCTTTTCCAACATCCTGTCAGATCCCTCAACGTACTGATTTCCCCCCTTGTGTTAACTATACCAATATTATTTTTTTAGCAATTGAAATGCACTTTTTTATTTCAACTCAATCATGATTTTAAGTATAAAAAATTTATAGACTTTTAAAACTACTTTTTTTGTGTATTTTTAACCACTCGATGTAGCATTGTCTATTTTATTCTTGTGAGACTCTGGTACAAGGCGTGCCACTTCATGATATTTCCGACATGCTGGGCCTTTGGATGTGTACGGTAACAAACTTAATGCTAATGTTCAAAGTAAAAAGAAAAAAAAAAAAGTAGCCATATTTGTTGTGT